ACCAAACACACCCACGCAACAAACAAACAAACAAACAAACAAACAAGCAAACCCAACGGACTGGCCCCCCGTTGCTCCTTTGCCCCCTCCTTCCCCTGCTCCTTCCTCACCGCCACGCAAATATCCACCGCCTGTCGCAGCAGCTCTTCCGCATCGCCGTACAGCCGCATACCCACGTACGACGCCGCCAGGCACATGTTGGCGGAGGCTATTGCGGGGGAGTTGGGGTTCTTCCGGGCGGCTTCGGAGCGCAGGTGTATGCACATGTTGCCGTGCGCCTGAGCCTCCTCGAATTTGCCCTGAGGCGGAGATCAGAGGGAGAGAGGTAAGGGCGGGTAAGGGCGGGGGAGGCGGGGTGTGTGCAGGGGTAAACGGGGGGGGAGAACGTACACGTATGTGTATGTGTGTGTATGTGTGTGTATGTGTGTGCCATCCTTGCGCTAAGGCCGTGGCAATCTTATCTGGTTTTTCCTCTTCACCATTAGCTGTGAGGATGGCACATACACACACATACACATACACATACACATACACATACACATACACATACACATACACATACACATACACATACACATACACATACACATACACATACACATACACATACACATACACATACACATACACATACACATACACATACACATACACATACACATACACATACACATACACATACACATACACATACACATACACATACACATACACATACACATACACATACACATACACATACACATACACATACACATACACATACACATACACATACACATACACATACACATACACATACACATACACATACACACTCGTACATGTACGCAACATGTATACGCACTCGCACGACACACATCGCAGGTCATTCCTTGTAAACCAACATACACACGGACCGTACAAATCGTACACACGGTCGTACCTGGGCGGTTAGAGCCAGTGCATGCACCCTGTATACGTTGGCCATCTCCACCTTGTAGGCACGATTGGCCACAAGGCCCACCTGGACGCGCGCGTGTGTGTGATGTGAGTGCGTGTGTGTGTGTGTGTGTGTGATGTGAGTGCGTGTGTGTGTGTGTGTGAGTGCGTGTGTGTGTGTGTGATGTGAGTGCGTGTGTGTGTGTGCGTGTGTGTGTGTGTGTGTGCGTGTGCGTGTGTATTTCCCCGGGGAAAGCCGCCGAGTGTTGTATAAACACGGGGGGAGAGGGCGGGACTTAAGTCCTGTCGAGGAGGACAACGAAAAGGGGACGGGTCGCGAGAGAGATAGGGAGGGCGGGGAAGCGAGGACTGAAAATCAAACAGACAGACAAACAGACAGACAGACAGAAGGAGATTCACCCGGATCTCCCCCACCTCCCCCACCCACAGGTTGTCTCAGTCTTTCCGAACCCGTCCCCCCGCTTTTCCCC